CGTCGCAGGGCTGTCTGGTTTCCCCGCTTTTGCTTCGCCTGTACGACGGAAGCCGTTTCAGCCAAGCTTCGTCAGAATAGTTGAGCGGTGTCACTGACGGTGCGCCGTTGGTGGCAAGCAGTTGCCCTCCCCCAGCCGATAACAAGATGCAGCTCTTGCAGAAGCACCAGATGAGCACTTTTTCCTGCTCTCCAACCTGTAGTTTTAGAACAACTAACTACACGTGTCTTAGCCCGCTGTGAGGTGAGTCAAACGTATGCATGTGCCTAGTAGGGGCCTGCTTCGCTGTGTTTCTAGATACAGGAACTGCTGGCCAGATCTAAGAAAAGGCTTACAGACCATAGTGGCAAACTCCTATTTCTCTCAGCAGGCAAATTAGTCCCTCCTCCCAAAGGAGCAGGGGCCCATTTCAGGGGTGGGGTTCCTGGTTGCACATCTTCTAGATCAGCAGCCGGAGGCCATGCCCAGTGAGGCAGCCCATCAATCCTGTTGCCCAGGTTACTAATAAAAATACTGAGTAATGCTGACCCCGAGACAGCCCCGCTGACTCCTGGGCTCCAGCTTGAGGTAGAGCCGTGAATGCCGGCTCTGAGTGGGCTAGTCGGCCGGCCGGTCAGCTCTGTGTCTTCCGAGCCACACGTGAATGAGAATGCTGGAATCTCTCCATTTCGGGGGACCTCAACCAAAATAACTCTGGGTGGCTTTGTTCACTAAAGCAGGCACCTTGTTAAAGAGATTTAAATTTGTCTTGCATGACCTGTTTTTTGGCAAAGATTCTTAGCAATCGTGGCATCTTTAAGATGCTTTCAAATGGCCTGTATTATTATCTGCTGTAACTTGATGTTAAGCTTCCTTGTCAATCATCCTCTTTTTTCCCTTTCTTAAAGAGAGGGAACCCATTGACTCTTCTCCAGTCTTTTCAGCACCTCCAAGATTCCTCAAAGATAATTGACAGAGATCCTGTTAGCTCATCAGCGGTACCGTCAGTCTTCTGGGGTGTAAATAAATAATCAGAGCCTGGAGACTTGAGGCATTGCAACCAGCTAGAAGAGCAAGAAGATCCTTACTGATCCGCACTCTCCCCTCTTGTCATTCCCAGTCTACACCACTCCAATCACCATTTGGGATGTAAAGATGGGCAAAATAGGAGTTGAGTTCGTCTGCCTTCTCTTAGTCATCTCTTAAGGTTTCTCCATTCAGAGTAAGAAGTTGGCCTCATGTCCCATTGTTTCATTCATTCAAAAGACATATAGTTACCTTATGTAGCAGCTTATAAACAATAAAAACTCCCTGTATCCCCCAAAAACCTAGGTACTACTAGATGCCAACTTTGAAGGGAATGGACCTAGAGCGCGCCAGCCCTGTCTGAATGGGTGGAGCGGACAAATAGCCTGAGGGAGAGGTGGTCCCACAAATAACATGGTCGTGTGCCATTCAGGGCTTTAAAGGTGATAACCAGCACCTTGAATCACACTCAGAAAGAAATGGAAGCCGGTGCAGCAGCGATGTAACATGGGCAAACCATGAGGTGCCCAAAACCACATGTGCTGCTGCATTCTTGACTAGCTGTAATTTCCAGATGGCCTTCAAGGGCAGCCTCTAATCCAGGAATGGGTTAGGGTTTCAGTTGGCACACGAGATGGATCTGTACAAAGCCCCACCCAGCCACAGCTGGCATCTGCTGGACAAGCAGGAGCTGCAAGTCCAGGAGGATCCCCAAATTGCACACCAGCTCTGTCTAGGGGAGGGCAACCCTGGCAAGAATCAGATGATAACGTCACCAGATCCAAGAGGACCAAAGACCCAGAGCCACTCTGTCTTGCTAGGGTTGAGTCAAAGCCGGTTCCTCCCCAGCCAAACCCTTCAAGCCTTTAGGCACCGGGCCGTGTCACAGGGTCTTTTCTAAACTACCCAGTTAGACTGACCCAGACTCAAGAGACGCAAAAGCACTGAGCCCTGGACCAGGTGGTTCCTTTATATCGCCCTGTAAGGGTTGGGGAGATGTTTTATGTTGCAAAACAAAGATAAAAGTGATACATGAAACTTAGAGATCTGTGTGTGAGTGCTTCCTATTACAGTACCTTTATCCTATGTTCTGTTCTATTGCTGCCATTTCTAACTATTACTATGATAATGACTGCTACTATAATAATTACCATACTCTATACCAGCGGTCCCCAACCTTTCTGGCACCAGGGACCGGTTTCGTGGAAGACAGTTTTTCCATGGACCGGAGGGGGGGGATGGTTTCGGGATGATTCAAGCGCATTACATGTATTGTGCTCTTTATTTCTATTATTATTATTATTATTATTATTATTATTTCAGTGGGAGGAAATGCTGGCGGGGCTTTGTGCGGGGATAGGAATCGGTTGCTGGTCAGGACTTGTCTGGGCAGTCTCCGAAGAATCGGACACGATTGAACAGAAAAAAAAAAAAAAAGGCTTGTCGGCTTACCAAAACTGAGACAAGCGCACAGTGCGGGAAAGGCGCGGACAGCAGTGGTAAATAAAATAATGGGCGGACCACGCGCGGAGTAAAATAAGTGTTGGATTCTGAACGCACAACCTAGATCCTGCGCATGCGCAGTTCGCAGTACAGTTCGTGCTCCCGTGAGAATCTAATGCCACGGCTGATCTGACAGGAGGCGGAGCTCAGGCTGCAATGGGGGCGGCTGTTTTTGCTCGCTCGCCCGCTCACGGCCCAGTACCGGTCTGCGGCCGGGGGTCATGGAACCCCGCTCTATACTATTGCTATTACAATGACTATGTTTCCTCAATAGTATACAGGTAGTCCTCAGTTAACTGCAGTAATGGGGACTGCAGGGATTGCTGTTGTTAAGCGATGTGGCTGTAAAGCGCAATGTCGTGACTGCATCG